ACTATGCTAAGAGTTGGTGTATCAAGATGACCAACGCTCATGCACTTAATCGACTTCGGACAGATGTTCATTCATTGGGTCCAACCAGGTATTTTTTTTCTCATGACTAATTCGATGATGGATAAATTGGTTGCGATGTTTAGAGTGATTGCTCCAACATCAAATTTCGATCAATTTGATCGAGCATTTGGGTGTACACCGGGCCAAGGAAATAGTCGAAAAGACAAGTGCATTGTATGGTAGTAGAGTGTGTTCATCTGTAGTATTACAGAACGATAAAAAAGAGCATGTGCAAGTATGCTTGGATTGCTTCATATTGTGATTAAGAATGGCTTATTTTAAATATTTAAAAATTTAATAAAAAAAAGTTTCGCTTGATCTATCGAATTTTCAGCTGATTTAATGAAATAAGGCAAAAACAATTGAGGTTTGCAAGTAACTTTAGAACAATTTGTAACAGTGTATAGCTTTGACAGATGTGAAAATATTTCCATGTTTTTCGAAAATTTGCTTCTGTATAATAACTCTTTGTTTTCTAAATTTTTCCAATTGAGAATCGAAGACAACAATATCTCAGTAAGCAAATGGTCGAATCGGAATTTAATCGAACATATTGGAAAGAAATGAATTAAATATTTCCACCGTATGTTTTACACACTAATCTAGCATGGATTGTGTTGAAAGTTTTTTTAAAGGAGTATTTTAAGACTGAATATATGTTGATATAGAACTCAACTGCGTTCATATTTGATGATGGATGAATGTGTATGTTCTTCTTCTTCTTCTTTTTATCCACTCACCTTCAAAATATGGCTGATAAATCTCCGATGTTTTCTTGTGATCATAAGCAACAGAGCATGGCGTATGACTGATCCGTTAAAACCATATTCTTCTGAACTCTCGATCATGCTCATTGAAGCATCTGTTTTACGTGCATATACCGATATATTTCCTGTACTTATGTGACATATTGCGTAAAAGACGAACTGATGGATATTGACAAACTTTCTAGACATATTCGAGAGCCATTTAAAAAATCGAGAAATGTGGATTGCTCTTGTTGAGTTGAAGTAGAATAAAATCGATCAGATAGTAACGAAGAATAGAAGAATATAGGAAACGCTCGATTAATGGTCGGCAAAGGATCAGACGAAGAGAAAGAAGACGAACAAATATCTTAATCAATCAACAACATCCGAAGTCTGACATTTCGAGGTATGTTTTGCCTTCGAGTCGATCAATGATACGTTGACCTGATCTACTTCTCTACTTAAATCAACGAAAAGGAAACGCTCATTCATAAGCAAACAGCGACTGGTCTTCTTACTAGAGAAACATTAACGCTATCGACCGATTAACTGGAGCATGTTCAGATGGTATAGCTTCTATATGTTGCTGACCGATAGATGTCAAAATTTCTCATTCATGAATAAAAATAAGCAGTCGCCAAGACTTCATTCGCAGCGTAAGTAGGGTGATTTTAAACGTTGAGTTGATTTCAGGCGAAGTCTAGATGATTTTTATCTTTTTTTTGAACGTTGGTTTACTGCACTAGTCTTTTAGAACAAAGTAAAAGAGTAACTGTGGAAGATCGTATGACTTTACCACCAACTTTCTCTTCTTTTTGAAAAACGTACATTTCCCGAGAATACCGATCGGAGTTAAAAGCAGTGTGAAAGTGCTCAATATAAAACTTCAAGACCGCACAAGCTCATTCTCCTCATATTCGCTTTGACAGAACTGTTGTCTCACCGAACATAATTCCAGTAATAAATTTTGAAATTTTTCGCCAACGTTTAACTATATGAACTACAGATTTTCACTAATTTGTTCATTAATATGAAGTTTACATAGCAGAGATCTCAATCTAGTCACTTTTATACGAAAAAGTATGATTAACATCCTCGCAAAAACTATGTATAATATTGGTGATGCTTATTCATGACGATAACGAAAAAGTCGTATGATCTAAGGATTTACCTTGAGTTAAGATAGTAATGGCGGTGGTTTATGTGATCATACGATGAGAGGCAGAACTTGGTTTAGTACAACTACCTGAAATGGTATGAAAGTATGCAATGAAATCTTCCAAAACCCTAAAAAATATGTCAAAGTTACAAAAAAAGCATTGTATCCGTAGAAAAGGACTATGAGTGTTAAAGCTTCTTTTCGACCCAAGATATTTTTAAGAAATAGTTATATGGCGATAACAAAGTCTATACAGGCTACAAATCTAGCATAGTCATTTGTCTTGAAGTGACTTTGAGGATCATGAGTCCTCTACCTCGCTCAGAACTTTGAGAAAACTTTTTCAAAAAATTCAATTTTCCAAAGTAACCAGGAATATCAAGTTGACTATGCTGATCATAAATATTGCTGTTGTAAATCGCCAAAGTGTAATGTTGAAGAACAATACAATTTTTACCTATACCTAACTTTTGGATCTCAAACCATGTTTTTGATCATCCTTTCTTATAGATTAATCTAAAGAGGGTGAGTGTGGGCGCACTAGTATGGTTTAAGAGAAGATCTACATCATTCATTTCATTACCCTCTTGTATCTGGATATATATATATCTTTCACCTTCCCCTCTCTTCATCTACTTTCTTCCGTGTTTTTCTCCATCTCTTCATGTCCCTCTTTCTTCTTCTCTTCCCATTGTTCTTCTTACTATTCTTCCCAGTGTGAGAGCTGAAACTGCTTGAGTTATAATTAGAGTTATAACTTTTGGCTTATAACTGATCAACTTTTCAGTCAAAAACTTAATTGAGTTTTAATCATCAACCCGAGTTACTGCTATCAACCATATTAACTTGATTAACTTTTTGATTTTTTGAGTAGATGTAATTATGTTGAAATAGTAATCATTTTGATTTAATTACATGTTCTGTAGAATAAATAAAAATATATGTATTTCATGGTTCTTCACTTTAAAAGTTTAGTATTTATAGACTATTCTTTGAGTGTTTTTTTATATATTTATCTACAAAGTTAAATTTTTATCGTATTTACATAGCGAACACGAATGCATGTGTTATACAATATATTTTTCGTTATATGACCAACAATGATCTTTAAAATAAGAGCAGCTAACAATAGTATTTTAAAACTGAAACTACTCTATTCTATTTCTTATTCTCTAAAGTGGTAATTATCTTCAATATATGTCGCGAGAAAATTCAGATAATGCTTCCTGTCAGTATAGTTATCTGTATTTTATTTAGACACGAAATTGTCATATTAGGTTATTCACCATTCCTTCTTATACATTCATCACTGCTTTTATTAGCATATATATATCGTTTTGTTGTTTTCATTCTTTATCCTTACTCTATCAACGAACGAGAGAAGCGAAATGAAAGAATAAAGAAATCAAAGCAACAAGAGAAAAGAGTAAAGAAGATGCAACCATTGTTTTCTTATAAATTGAAGGTAAAGAGAAAAGCTTCCTACATCATTCAGAAGGGACAAGTGAATGGTAGCTTGCTGATGCTTGGTGCGAGCGTACTTTTTTATGGCATGAATATAACGAATTATTCTGATTACTCTCAAATCTTGAGTAATGTTGAAAATTATATTGATTAATGCTTATAACCAAACTGGTTCTAAATAAAATTCAAAATTATACTTATGATCGAAAAATTTATAAAACAATTTTAACTTCCACATTAAAACTGTGATGTAATTGTGGATGAATCAGAACTTAAAAGTCAATACTTATTGTAGGCTCAAGCAAAATAAAAAAATTTATAATATCCAGTTTTTTTATGGCACCATAAACAAAAATGAAATTTTATTGATTGTTGAGGTCAAACGATAAGTTTACAAACAAAAAATAATAAAGGCATGTTCACAAATTCAAGATGAATCGAATAAACCAAAGCAACTAAAATTTTTTCTATTTTTATAAAAAATTATTCTGCAATGAAATCTAATTAAATTTGAACGAATAAATGTGCTCAGCAACACTAATATTGGTATATGTTAATGAATACATAGGGTACCCTCTGCGCTACAATCACACAGGAGTAGGTACAATCTCAATAACTGGACAACGACAACAGCTACCGAACTACGGATTTCAACGATCGAAAGAAGAAAACTCTGGAGATTTTTTTGTCTGATACTATATAAGACAAAATTATTTTAAAACCCATCATCTTTGCAAACAATTCAAAAGCATGCATAAACTTAGTGTTTCGTTTCAAAGAAATTTTGATGAAATATCAGAAAATTTGCTAAAAATTAATAGAAACTTATATAATTTGACTAAATACATACGTGATTTCGCTTGTTCAACATTGAGATGTGAGAAGATAATCATCTGAATTGTGCCTTCAACGTATGTTGCGAAAATGAAAGTTTTAAAATAATTTTGTCTTGTATAGTATCAGACAAAAAGACGTCCGAAGTTCTCATCTTTCTATTGCTGACAACCACAGATCACTAGCTGTTGTTGTCGTCAAGTTATTGACCTTACGCCAAATTCTCTTTAATTCTGGCGTGGACATTAGATAAAATCGAACTCCAATAATAAACTTATAAATACAATTTCTACTAGATTAAGATATGGAAATCACTTGTTCTGTGCAGCTTTATTACAAACTACATAAACTAAAGTGTCTCTAATAGTTGAAAACTCTTCTCCAAAGGTGTATAATTATCAGAAGAGTGTTTTGTGTTTTGACTATGCATTTGCTTTTTCATACCGATGCGCTGTTTTCGCACTGATTCGTCAGTTTTATTTTACTTAATCTAGCGATAAGTTAAAAAGATCCACAAAGATTTGAGAAAGTTATAGAACCCTCGAAGGTTTTTTTTTGTAATTTAGCCGAGACACCTTTATAGTTATAAAACTAATGTCTGTCTGTAGACATTCGGCAAAATTTTTTTTTTTCTATAAATAGAATATTTGTATTCTTGTTCTTATTTTATTCATTCTTTTATATCAGTTTGATAAAATTATTTATTGAATTGTATAGTTTATTACAATAAAATTTTATCCATGTCTCTTTCCTGAAGAAGTATGATCGTGAGCAGCTAATCCTAACAAATAGATTTGTTCGGGATATTTCGTTGAAAATATTTGCATATCATATTTTTTTGTCCAAAATACTGAACTATTTTGTAGTCTAAACTGTGCTAACAATTGTCCATTTTTATCAAGAAATTTCGTTGTAAATAAGCCAATATCATTTTCCATTTTTAAATGATTACCATTCCAATTAATTTTAAATAAACTACCAAATAATTGGAAATTTTTTTCAATTAATCCGAGAACCCATTGATTTGTTCGAGGATCTAAAATTGAAATTTCTGCTTTGTATACTAATAGTTTTTCTACAGCTTTTAATCGCCCAACTTCTTGTTTTGATGGATAAGCAATAATCTTAAGACTGTGCAATTTGGCATAATTAGATTCAATACGATAATAAAGATGTTTTCCACTTGTATCACGTATTGAAAATTCACCTGCTTTAAATCCTTTAAAGAAATCTTTACGAATAGAATAACTCTTTATAGGATCTGCAGAATTAACATAGATCAATAGTATGCTTGCCAGTAAGAGTACAGAATAAATATGAATCGACATGTTATTTATGAAAGAAAAGTAAAAATGTATAGGTTTATATATATATTAGCTGGCATCGAGAACACTATACGTATTTGGATGATTCAGTATTGGCAAACAAAATACGATATGAAAACAGTGTTAAGACCACTTATGAAATAGAAACTGAATAGCAAACGAAAAAAAGTATCTTACAAGAGAGAAAAATTATGGTTTCTTTTACTGAATAAACTAAATATACATTTATTTCGTACTTCTATCAACTCTAGAAAATATAGATAGTGACATGTTCTATTCGAAATCAAGTTTCATAGTTTTGTTTTATCGCTATGACCGCTTTGCCTGACTGATCAACTTTGATTACAATGAAACTTTTTCACAAATCATACACAATCAAAAGGTGAATACAAATATAATAAATAATAATTACATGATTAATTGATTGCAACTTATTTAATGCATATAATAACGCATTTGTATTCTTTTGTATACTTTATAATTTTACCCCAAACTAATATTCATCGATAATTAATGATATGTTAGTACAATTGAGTAAAATTTCGAAGACTATCATCGATGTCAGAATTCAAAGTACTGGGATGTTTTTTGAATAACTCTTCATAGGAACAAAATAGAGATCTGTGGTTTTCAATGTATGATAGCCAAGACTCAAAGGTATATGTTCAGGAGCAGAATATTTTCTAAGAAAAAATTCAAAGATCGGTTTTTTCAGAGGCATTTGGAAAACCACACTGGATTCCTGAAAATTGTCATAGGAGTCTATTGATTTTTTTTACTTGAATCGATACCACAAAGTGTCCTCTACAAAACTTAATTTGTACAAATACTTTATCTTGCAAGGGTTAGAAGTACTAGGCAGTTTTCATGAAGTCCTAGGACTTGTCTTTCTTTAAGTATGGTACTATTATAAATACATGAAAACATAGGTTATCGACTATGTTAAACGCTGTAGCAATATCTTTTTTTTTTCAGAATAACACTTTTATTGATCATATCTGACCACAATTAATATATGGTGTTTCCTTGTGAAAAAATGTCATTATGACGATTTATGTCCTCTTATTTCTCGAATACAATACAAAATATGAAGAAAAATAATTTTTCTTGTGCTACATAGAGAGATGAATTATCTGCACGATCATGTACGTATGGATCTCCATTTTCAGTACGCTCATACTGATTCACACTCTATTTTTCTTCGCAACATGAATATCAACGTTTTTTTGTGTTGATTCGAAATTGTCAACATTCTAGCAACAATTAGGCATTAGTACATTTCATGTTCCAGTTAATAATCTCTCTCTGGTAAGACTTTTTCATCAAATCGATATTTAATATGATAAACATGTGATTTTATACATGGTAATCAGATCGATAAATATCATAGTTGCTATTTAAAACTCTAGTATGAAAAAAAGTATGCATTAGAATATTTCGTTATTGATAGAAGGATTAGACTTTGCATTCGATAAAAAATATTCTCATTCGAAAAAGACTAGTAACTGAATCATGGGATGTTTAACAAGACACAAAATCACTAGATCAGTACAATCAATTACATAGATATACAGTGCGTTAAAAAAATCATTCAACTAGATTTACTTTTACTTTTTTGCCGTTGCCATAAGTGCTAGAACGAATTCAAATCGAGAAAATGGTTTCAAACAAAAATATAAGGATATAAAAATGATTATCAGATTCGCAAAGATAAAGACTCCAGAAAGCCAAAAGGCTAGTTTTTCAACACATAGAGCGCGTAAATATAATTTTGTTTAAAGTATATAGGACGATAGAGTAAACGAGCCTCTAGAAAATGAGACATCATTGAGTTCTCTACGACATTTTTTGGTTGAGATACAATAATTTGATTGCAGGCCAAAAAATGGTTTATCTATAAGAAATCGATAAAAAAAATGGCTTTAGGGACTTCCATAAGATTGCTATATCTCAGCTAAAAAAAATGTCTCAGAGAACTCGGCGGTGTCTCATTTACTAGAGAATTGTTTGCTCTCTCGTTCTATGTAGTCTAAACAAAATTATATTTAAGTGCTCTAAGTGCTGAAAAACTAGCCTTTTGACTTTCTGGAAGTTCTATCTTTGTGAATCTGACAATAATTTTTATATCCTTATATTCTTGTTGGAAACCATTTTCTCTATTTGAACCACTATTTGGATTCTTTCTAGCACTCAAGGCAGCGAAAAAAAATGAAAATAAACCTTGGTGAATAATTTTGATAGCCATTGTATGTTTCGAAGAAAAAATGACCGACTTATTGGAAGACTTGTCTTGTTTGTTCTGGTATTTATTTATAAAGACAATGTAAATATGTCAACGGTGATAAATGAAATAAAATATTTGATTCTAGAAACATACGAAAACTATATTGGTTTTTTTTGTACAATAAATAGATCCAAGTAGTTCGTCACTTCTTCTAACTTTCATGGGAAATTTGAAGAGATTAATTTTGACAAAAATATAATTTATTGATCGAAAAAACGAAAAATCCGATTAATAAAAGTTCTTATTTTCTCGTTTCTTCATCTTCTGAAAAATGTTTTTCAAACATTGTTGTCATGTGTCAAAAGAATTTCATTATTATCCGACACATGATGTCATTGTCTTCTTCATTCCTATTTTCTTGTTGTTTTCCTTCAATTTTTATCACAATGTATATTATACTAATAGATTATTAGAAAGAGTTAATAGCAAAAGCTAAGAAAAAAGTTTGAAAATCCTTTTTATTTTAATGATAAGAGACTCAAAAGAAAATTCAATAAATAGTTTATAAAATATATTTTCATACTTCTTAAGACTTCAATTAAAACATTTAGTGGAAGAAGACAACTTAAGTTGTATAATTATAACTGAATCTGGTTTCTGTTAAGATTTTTAAATTTTAAAAAAGAAAGAAAAATGCTGTTCCTTTATTACTTATAATAGTAAACAAGGACACATTGCCCTTGGCTCTTCAACATAAAATGTGCACTTTAAATAAAAATTTATTTTCTAAAATGCGAAATAACAGGTGCTCTTTTCCTTTTGTTTCCTATAAAAAGATTTTTATTATTTATTGGTTTTAAAATATATGACACAATACAGATGATCATTAAAATTTTTATTTTTAAAAATAATATGTATTTATAATACGATTTAATTACCTAAAGCTAAAGAATGTGTAGTGTTTTTAGTAATAATATCTATCATTTTTATATGTTGTTTACTATTAATTCTATTGAGTCGATTAAGTACATCTAAATAAGTCTTGCTAGATAATTTGTACGTCGTAAAGCTTCAATAAATCCATATTGATAGACAAAATATTTGCATAATATAACAATAAATATATCTTGAATGAGTATGAATAATTGAACTCATTGAACATGTTTTTGTTGAATTGAATGTATGTTTAGATAGAACTAGTGAACAATTACTGGAAAATCCTAAAATAATAAGCCTCATTTTTTATAAGTGTTCCATTGGATTCCATTCTTATCATAAGACATTGACTTTCTTTCACATAATCTGCTTCATATATTTCATTACGAGTTGCAACATGAAACTTCTTATCGAATACTTGTGTTTGAATAGCAATAAATAATGAATTAAATGTCCCTATGACATTTATATTATTTTCTAAAAGAATTTGACAAATATCTATTGGTATTTATATAAATAAGGAGAACATTCTATAAATGATTGAATAGTTATAAAAAGTAAACTGATTAAATCAAGTGTATTCGACTTTTTTGAATGAAGTTCTGGTGGTAGAGATGATTGTTCTTGAAATGAATTTTGAATTTGTAAAATTATATTTTATTCATCATAAGCACAAATAATATTAGAAATAAGAGTCCATTCATCAGATGTTAATATTGAAAGATCTTTAAGTTAAAAAACTAAGTGTTCCAAGCTATTGACGATAAAAATAAAGAATATTTGAGAAAATCATTCATTGAAAATAATCTGAGATGACCAACTTTGTGTTTATTTGTTTCTATCTATTGTTGACATGTAGAACTAATTGATTTTTGAATTGAACAATGGATTAATTTTGGATTCATACCAAGAGAGAAACATTTTTTTAAAGCAACAAGCTAAACATCTACTATGTGTCTGCTGTGTTATAATACAATCATTATTAAATTCACACTCAAATTCTTTCTTATAAGTTTAATTAAGATGTATTCGGTTTTTGTTTTGTTTTTTGAATAAATATTAGTTTACCGATCTTTGAGGTGCATTTCTTTGAAAAAATGTTTTACATGACATACATTTTATAACATTAAAATTCCTTCTACGTACTACATCACCACATACAAGATAGACTAGAACTGTATGACATACTAATCTAAAACTTTTGTGTTAAATTCATGTAAGAGTACATTTACTATGCTTTGCTTTATTATATTCTAGATGTGTGTAATATTTCTTTTTCTTTTGCCCCCTTTTTGTATTTGACGCTGTCATTTATGATATTGTTTTAAGTGAATTCTGAGAGAAATCTTTTTGTTTTATGAAACTTGAAAATAATAATTATATGCATACTGTATAATTTTCATTTACCTTCCTTCCAGCACAAAAAGAGACACATTGTTTACAGATCATAAATAAGTCAGTAAACTTCTCATAGAATCAATATTTTTCTTGCTTTCGTGCAAAATATAATACACTTAACAAACATACTTTACACAAATAATAAGAGCCTGGTTATTGTATACGTGAATAATATTAAAAAGAAGATTTCATTGTTTATATGTAAATGATGAACTATCATTTTGAAGACGACTAAGTCGTTAAAATTGTAAAATACAAACCCAATAATTAGTAAAGAAAATATCAGAATAATCTTACTCTTGTGAAGGAATGTCTTCTGGTGTGACTTGCCAATCAAACGGATATTTTGTCTATAGGTAAGCTCCAACAAGACTAGTAAAAGCCTATAAGGATTTGTTTCCATGCGCTATCCTTCCAAAGATATTATAGTTTTATTGAGTTTTTTTATCTCTGGCAAGATTTTTGTGAAATAATCGAAGTACGGAATTTCAATTGGATATTTCCCCCATAAGTGGTAGGTCTCGTGGTCTTTAGAATGACCTGATAATTTCAGCCTAAAGAAGTATATTCTTCTTGAGACATTGAATATCCAAAAACAGTCATTTACCACAATGCACAAGGTAAGAAAGTTCAGTGTTTTCAACATTCGATGTCTTAAGAACAATGCATCCCTTTAGACTAAAATTTTCAGAGTATTCGAAGCTTCACGAGACCTACTTATGAGCAAAGTATTAGTTCAATGAGTGAGTCACACTTGGAGACTTTCCCTCGTAGGACAACGAATCAATTAAGGTTTCATATCAAATATGAAATATTTCTTCAAACTTACTATATCTTTCTTGTAATATTTTATAATTACTTTTTCCTTGTCCATTGAAATGTGTCCGATTCAATTGATTCATGATATTGTTTAGTTAGATGAAAATAGGAACTTATTGACAAACATAATACATTTCGTCGAAAGTAATACATTACAAGACATCTAAGCAATAGCATCAAAATTCATTCTATGTGCTACATCGCCACATATACAGTAAATCAACAGTTAGCGAAGCATTTTTTTCTTTTAATGAATTATTAAATTCTCTCTTATTTATATGACTTTATGATATTCCCACGAAGTTATATTGCTTTTTATTAGTTTTTCAAAAATTTGATATTCGTATTTCTGTTCCAACTGTACTATTTAGTAAAGTATATGTTTATAGGAAACAATCAAACATCATATAATTATTTTTATTGTTTAGATGATTGATAATGCTCAAACTAATTTATCTTTATCATCAATAAATTAAGTGTGTAACACATATTAATAGATATGTTCGTTAATCTAATTAGGTAAAATTTAATGTTTGATAATGATGTGAAAGATACAGAGTGTATTTTCATATGCAGAGTTATTGTATTTTATTTTACTATTTTATAAAAACGTCACATTATCTACAACTATAGAAAATAATTTTTTTAAATTGTTTTCATTCTAACATAGTTAGAATGATATTCTGAAATATTCTTTTCATCTTACAAGAAAAAAATTCCCAATCTTCTAATCGCTTTTTATTTCAAGCTATTGCCATTCAATCGATCATGATAAGTAGTAAAAAAGAAGTCTATTTCAATTTGATTTTTCAGTTTTCACTTATTATGTTATGAGAGTTTTACTCGTTTTTCGTCCTACGAGGATAGAATCGCTAAGAGCTTCGATAATCAAATTTCGAGCTGAGATTTTGTTCAGAGATCGTTCTAACAGTCACTAGAAACACTCAAAGCTTGGGCGAGGATAAACATATCTGTATTAAAACGTAAATTTGTCATAAAAATGTCCTTCTTTTGAAAAACAGGCATGTTTTTTTTGAAATCGTGAATATCTTAGCAAGAATATGTTCGTTCTAATATAAACTTTAGCATGTTTCTATTGACTATAATGATGACCTGTGAATAAAATTTCAGTTCGAAAACTGGGTTATCAAATCGAAACATAGTTTTTCAATATTTTTCATGACTGATTGAATGACAATGGATCGAAGCGATTGAACAGTTTGAAATGTTTCCTCGTCAGTTAAAATTCTATTGATTTTTTGATTTTATTTTCTATATATTCAATCAATATTCATCATATATTAGCTATTACAGAAAGAGAAATTTATTTTATTATTTGTTTTCTTCAACACCTACTAAAGTTACTTCATTTCAAACTACACAATCATTTCACGAAGACAATACTGTTACAATTAAAAAAAAAAGGAGAAAAATAAAAATCTAAGGATTAAACTCATTTAAGCAATACATTCTCGTAATATGAATAAAAAGGAATTTGTTTGAATTTTTGCACAAAAAAAAGAGAAAAAGAAAACGAAGAAGGGAAAAGGTCAGTATGAGAAAAAAGAAAGAAAATAGTAATACATAAAACACACGCATACAACAGCATTGTTTTTCATTCGACTACATATTAATTTTTTTTTTTTTTTGCTAAAAATATTTGACACACGGAAGAAGAAAATTTTTAAATATCTCCATTTAGACGTGAAGTTGCCTGTTGTGGTAGATCTTTAACATAAATTTGAAAACGTGTTATAGCTCGACCTGTTTTCTTATCAAAATCAATATTTTGACCATATACACGGCAGACAACATTAATTAATATATTTGGGCTTGGACTATTAAATTGAACCCAAATATATGGTGCTTGATATTTATCTTCACGATTAATTTTACCTCTAGAAAAAAACCAGATCGATCTATTCATACGAAAAGAATCTTTCATCATACTCATAAGGAAACCATGAGGTTTCAAGTGCACCACATTTAGTATCACGACCGTTTTCTGATATATAAGTTATATTTCCAATATTATCTTCGTCAGCGGGATACTACAAAAAAAAAAGTAATTTTTCATTTTTTTGTAAGTGATTAAATAATATAATGACTTCTCCATAACAATGGACATAGACTGCACTAGCTGCTGTGGAGTTAGTTTTACATATACTAATATATGATTTTTTTTCGCCGTCTGGTGCACCTGGTTTTGGTTTAAAGCCAACAATCTAATAAAATATTTTATTTTTTATAAATATTTTTCTATTATTTAATTTTACTTTATTCATTTTAACAAGTACACATGGTTTTCCTTTTGCAAAACCATATTGAGTAGCATTTGTACAATCACCTGGTTTATTAATGATGAATTTTCTAGTTGGTACTGGTCTTTCTCGAGGATCATCGTCTTCATCATCACTTTCTGCTTTCTCAACCTTATCTTCTTTCCAATAGACTAAATAAATAATTGTCTTAGAAACAAAAAAAAACAAAACAACAACTACTGATTTTATTTACAAATTTGAAGGTATTGATCAAGACTTTTAGCATAAACATTTGGTTCATTTGGGCGAGCATTTTTGTCAATGATTATTAAATTTTTATCAGCTTCTGGTTGAGGTCGAAAGCCAAGACCTAAAACAAAAAGCTAATTAAAAAAAATTTTTTTCATAAATAAATATTCATACCAGGTGAAAGTGGATTTGATCGAGTAGCCATACGTGATTCTTCTAAATAATATCGTGGTCGATCACGTGGTGATAATGCCATAAAAACAGCTAACATTGCACAGAAAAAACCAGCCAAACCAAGGTAGAAGAAGAAATAAAAAACACCTAATTTAGCTATTTAGCAAAAGAAAAAACATTGTTCAATTATTCTTTTTTTATTTTAAATTTTTATTTTTATTTACTCCATCCTGCTCCATCTCTGCCAAGAAATTGTTTTCTTTTGGGATTGTATAATGCATTCATGAAAGAAGAAACTCGACCACCCATGTTGATAACTTTATTGTGTATGTATATTACTTATCTACAAGAAAAAAACAACTTGTTTCTTCGATGGTGATCTGATTTCTTTCTTTTTTTTTTTGCCTCGACTAACTCTATTCACGATAATAAAAAAAGAAGAAAAAAGTAATTCTATGTATGCTGAATAAAAAAAAAAAAAAGAAAAAGGAAGGTATTTTATCTTGGTGCATTACGATCGACTGCATACAGTTTATCATGCAGAAAAAAAACCCGAAAGAAATGATTTGTTTCTCTTCTTACACGTAAAGCCGCACTATGAAAAAAACTGTTTTTCTTTTATTAAAGGGCAAACGATTCTATCGGTTGGTTGTTATTCTCGTTGGAAGAAAAAAAAAAGAGTCCGACGTCGAGGAATAAAAAAAAAAAAAGAAGTTTTTCATATTCTTATTCATATTTATATTTCAATGATCAGTAAGCAAAAATAAAAATAAAAAGAACGAATCTAAGGTGTATATTCAAGGTTATTCAAGTTTATGATGCTAGAGAAAATGTTCAAGGCCATATATCAAATATAAAAGAATTTCTTCGGCTAAAACATATATCTGCCATCGTAACTCTTTTTTCTTGTGTTTATGGAATATGCTTATCTTTTTATGATTGGTTAGATGAAGCTGGTGCAACCAGTGATGCCATGATTTAGCGACCTCTGATGAATTCAACAAGAACAAACGCACTTTCTTTATGTAAAAACGTAGAAGAACTTTACGAGCAATTTTTTTTATATATCTTAACAGGTGAATCGTAATCTTCAACATTGAAAGATATTAAAACTTAATAATGAAAAATTTTCTGTATATTTTTATATTTTGCTAATTGTTATCAGAAATACAACGTTGAAAAACGTATTTGTTGTATTGAAGTTATAAATTCGATCAGACTGATTATCGAAGTTGTTTTTATCAAGTTAAGTAATAAATAGTTGATTATTTTTATGACATCATCGAAAATTATGTGTAAAGTTAATCTTGTATCGAAACAAAGAACATATATATGTGTGTACGGAAAGAACAAAAATGTACGAGCTCCTATATACCATGCGATCATTCACAGTCGCCTAAAGAAAGCATGGATATCAACAAGAACAGCTGTGGATAATCACAATCATTCAACGAAAGTCGAATTTGTATTGAAACAGGTACTTCAAGTAAGATTACATGCCGATGTAGACATTGTATCGAGTATACAATCGCCCAAAAAAAATTCAGAAAATCTTCTATACTGACTATCCGGACTACAAAATAATACGTATCCAAAAAATAGCCATATACCTTATTTACAATTGATTAGTACGTCTCATGAGGGAACATTTTCGACTAAGTAGTCGCTTTTGAATTTAGAAGACAGACCCCAGTGAGACATAAAAAATCTCAAAAGGACAAGCTCCATTAGACCTTCTGCCCAAAGTTATAGGCATTTTATTAGAAATTTAGCCTCTGGTATGGTATATAACAACAAACCAAATGATGGTATTTTAACCTGAAATTCTTCCTATAGACAGGTCTATTTGTCAGTGAGCTGGTTTTTTCAGAACATTTTACTGACAAATAGATTTGTTTGTGGGGAAAATCTCAGTTCGAAATGTCACGATTTAATTTGTTAGTATATACCGTATCAGAGGCTAAAATGCTAGTAAAATAATGCCTATAACTTTGAACAGAGCACCTAAGAAGACTTATCCGTTAGAGATTTTTCATATCTGACTGGAGTCTACTTTCGGAATTCAAAAGCGTTTGGTCGATTGAAAACGTTCTCTTGTCAGATCTGCAGATTTTAATAATGGAGATAATCAGCTAACAATTTTTTTGGCTCTTTTTTTTAGATGATTGTATATTCAGCATAATATCGACATCAGCATGTAATCCCATTTCACGTAACTGCTTCAATACAGATTTGACTTTTGTTGGATGATCATGATTATTTACGACTGTTCGTGATGTTTTTTATAATTTCTTTATGTGATTATGTCGTTTACAAGAGTCTGTACATTTCTTTTTGTTCTTTTGATATATACATAGATATGTCTTTTTGTTTCGGTGAAAGCTTAATTTTAAATGTCAGTTTTGATGATCTCATATAAATAATCATCTATTCACTGCTTAATTTAATCAAAACAGCCTCGATACAATTTAATATACAATTTTGCATAATTTATGATATATCATCTTCAAAAATTTTTTCTCAAACAAGTGAAATGGACAGTAGTGTTATGAATCCCAATTTAATTCTAATTCAGATCGAATATTTATTAATTTTACAAAAAAGATACAGATCAATGGCGAACACATCTTTTAACTTCAATTATATTGGTAAATTTAAAAAAAGCAAAAATCATTGATTTATTAGATTCTGGATTTGAAATCAATCTTCTTGGTATTCATTAGAACTGACACAACATTTTGTCTTGTAATATGACATGATAATTTTCTTTTGATATACTACATTCAATTAATTTCACATTTGGCCACTACATTTGGATTCAATTGTGTAATAGATGAAATGAGTAATCATTATATGAATATTGACTAAATTACTTTTTCGAGAAAGCAATAAAAAATAATATTGGAAGCACTGGCAATTATATGCAAATAAATATAGAACAAGTTAAGGAACTGATGTGCTCTTTCGTTTGTAATAAAAAAAATACAAAATCAACCTTAGCGAAGCAAAAACGTCGATGACATTTTTTTTTGACTGCGTGCATTGAGCATTTTTATCGTACTATATAATTTTTCAGCATAATGAAAATAGGTTTTGATATTCAATGAATAAATCATTTATCAAACTAAAGCTTATAAAAAAAAGCAATTATTTCCTTTAAGAAAAAAAACCAGTGTACTAAAACAAAGATCAATGAGAAAATAAGTATATTTCCTTTTGTAGAATTTTTCAGCTTCTTTTATGCTAATGACTTTTTAAGTAAAAATATCCTAAAAACTGCTTTCGAGCGCCCTCTACTGAGCTTTTTTTCCTTTTATTAAAATTAGTATTTATTATAATTTTTTTTCAATAATAAAATATTATAAGAATAAAATTTTCAAGTTTTTTTTTATTTCATTGACTCTTTTTAAAATGATTGGTATGCAAGATGCTTATCGGTTCTTATAAGGATATTCCAGGCTGTCGACACGCTTAACTACAGAACGAGTGTCTGTACGTGTAAATCCTACGTATGCATGTTTTAACTTTTTCATTGAATTTAGTGAATCATCTATAAGAACATATGATTTTCTTTTTTTTTCTTTATAGTTGTCATTTCAATCTAGAGGATCATGCAACAATCCATTATACGTCGTCGTTCATCTATTGCAAAATTAGTTCTGGATTTTCCATGGACAAAAACAAAAGAAGATATTGTTGATTTTTTTCATGTTGAAGAGAGTAAAGGTCTCTCTCAAGAACGAGTTAAACGTGATCTTGAAAGATATGGACCTAATGGTAAATAAGAAAAAAACAATTGCGTATATATAATTAGAATGATTTATTTTCATTCAGAATTACCAGTTGAGGAAGGTAAACCACTATGGAAACTTATCTTAGAACAGTTCGACGATCT